CAATGCCAATGGGACGGCCTCATTGTCACTGCATTTTGGGCGAGTAGCATTACAACAGAACTTACTCGAGTAGGTAGGTAAAAACCCAACAAAATCGCCCAGCCCCACAGAGGAAAACGAGTGAAATAGAGGTCGATCCAAAATGACTGAAAGAAAATGAACAGCATTATATTCCTCCAAGAAGTTGCTCTCCAACTGAGGGTGAGCTCAGCCTCAGTTGAGGCCTTTGGGATGGGCGACGCACAGCAAATTCCCCAGATTAGCAGGGACCTTTGTAAATATCCAGGCTGTACGGTGATCTATAAAATGTCTGAACGTTTGAATCATTCGAGTGTCATTGTTATTCTGATACATTATGTCCATTTACCGTCTAGGGAGATTGAAACGTGAGGGATAACTTCAATGCCGGCCGGCTGGCACCAGAATAACCTGGCCCTTAGAAGTAGCCTTGTGATCCTGAATAAAAAACGACCACACGACATTTTTCGAGGCTATTTTTCTTTTTTGTCAATTTTCTCTTTACGTTGTACTACTTTTACAACACTGCTATAAGAAACACTGTAAAAGATCTCGTTTTATGAGATGTTTTATCCTTCTGTGCTGGTAGGTAAGTACATATGGGTGCTTGGGAGGTTTCTTGCAAAGAGTTTTTCACAATGAAAGCTATAAGCCGTTAGATCCAGAAGGTGCTTCTTTACGACGTCACACAACCATACACATCCTTGAGAATTTATGGAAACGTCCCACTATTAGCTGCAAAGGGCATCACCGTGGCGCCTATAACATCTTAGGGAAGGGAAATGTCCCAAAGGCACAGCTACAGTTCACGATAATTTTGATATGACCTGTTAAGTCAAAAGGAAAAGGAAATGGTTGGAAATAGTGCATCGGTGGTGAAGGAAGGAGGAAATTCGCCGATATCGTGGAAAATGAGACACTTCAGAAGGAGTGGGAATGAAGGCTGTACGAGATTACCATCACCGAAAAGACATGGAAAAGATATTTGGACGAGATTTCAGTTGTTGCAACTGCGCAAAGTGATGACTACATCAAGCCAAAAGTGTCCAAAATTCCTTTCTCTGTTGTTGTGGGTCATGACAAGTTGTTTGAACTTCCTACTTGGGTTCCCTTGTGAATGGTGCAACCTCTACTATGCCGGTGAAACTCGTCCGAGGATACATATGTGCAATCTCTGAGCTTTTATAACTCCCTAACTAGGCCGTTCTCCAACCTGACAGCGCCACATACGGTATACAAAGTGGCCACAGATTCCTTCTTGTGGGCTATCTCATGAGCCATTCTTATCATAGACTGTTCATTAATCCACAAAGATTTATAAGTCTACTATTGTATTCTCGGACGAGCCATGCATTTGAAGCCCATTCAAATTTATAGAACCACATTAAAAAGAATCACTGTAATCGACTTCACCCCGTATAGAGAAAGAGGTTCAAGAAGAAAAAAGAGCAGAAAGTGAGGAACTATGAGGAACAGAACACCTTTCAAACTTGCTTTTCTAAGTAACAATTTAAAGGTAAAGTCAAGCGATAAAGTGACCCATAACAATCAATTTCTGGTTGGTATGCGCCGTACACACACTGGGGAAAACTGGTTTCAGTTCGTTATCATGCTACATTATTTTCCATACACAATGATGAATAGTACGGTGGCTGTGGAATAGTGGCAAGTGTCGCACTGTCACACACGCATGGTCATAGGTTCGAATCCCGGATCGATGCCCTCCTAGGCTAACCAAGCCTTCCATCTCTCCGGGGTCGGTAATTGTATCAGACTCGTCTGGGAGGATAAGAGCACTGACTGGGACATCGGCTAGCCACTGAAAGTCATTGTATAAGCCACATACGCATTCAATATGCCACCACGATTGTGAATGGGAGTCGAGTGCGGGGGCGCAGCCTCAGACGGGTTTCACTCCTGTACCTTCACATCCATCCTTATATGAGGTAGTGAGCTGATAGGATTTCGAGCCAGTTGCCAGTGAGTATGGGTGCGTGGTACACTCAACAAGATTGCGGGTGATCTAGGTAAGATCACTGGTAATAGTGAAGACAAAAATAGACAGAATAGAGTAATAGACAAAAACGAGAAAGCTTTTGATCAGAGCGATGTCGAAGT